CATATATATATATAAGAAAAGAAAAAGAAAAACAAGTTTGACTCCATCTTGAACACAAATCATATGTTACATTGGTGCATATTTCTGTAAGAAATTTACCTTTAACATTTTCTTAACAATACATATTGATCTGGCATTTTTCACTTCATCCACCAGATTATTCCAAAGTATTATACCCTGGACTGAAGTACTTTGTTCCTTCAAACTGGTTCCAAACTTACGTTTAACAAACATTTCTATCCCTTGAGATTATAACAACTTTCTCTTTTAGTCAAATGTAATTGGATGTTTGAAGATAAGGTGTTTTTATGAGCCTGACACATAAGTGACAAAATGTTATATCTTCTGATCTTCAGTTTGTTTAACTTCACCTTGTCCATTACTGGGACCAGCAATGGCTCCAGCAGTTCTCTGTACTGTAGAGCTCAGCTAAAACCATCTACCAGCCTAGAAACAACCAACTCAAGTTTGACCTGCCACAGTTATAAACGACTTTTAAATAGTGCCATCAGTTTAGAGTCCTGCAGATTAAAATGGTTTGAAACAACACACCGTATTTATTCATGTATAATACGATCATCATTTTTTGATCTTACAAAGCATAAAAATCTAATTATCAGTAACCTGTGTATAATACTATCCCCCAATTTATGGATGATTTTTAGGGATAAATTTTTAGTATTATACATGAATAAATACAGTAGTTTGTAATATTTAACTGTTTAAGTGGATGTCATTCCTTTTCTGTCACAAAGTATCCTAACAAAAAAATACATGGTCCATGATACCAACGCTGATCATTATAAACTGCTAAACATTCGTAAAGGGTTGTGTCTGAATATGCACAGAAATATTCATACATACTGCAGMTAAAGGGACAGTCTGGTCATTTTTGAAGGGACATTCTGTAAGAAAATTAAGTGTTCATTAAATGAAATTGAGACAAAACCACATAAATAGTGAATAGATTAAAATGTGAACAGAATAGGACCATACAACCCCAGATCTGGTTACGAGCCAAGCTTTTATTTATAAAAGMTAGCGCAACTGTGTTTGCTGCATGACCGGTTTCACCTGTTCTCCCATGTTTGTCTTGTATGTCTTCTTGAATGGGTGTTTCTTAAGTTGCACCCTCCCCCCTTCCCTGAATMAACAGCACCTTGTGAATTTATTTCTGTGAGAGGCGCTATATAAATAAAACTTTACTTACTTACTTATTTCTCCCAGCTGAAGTCAGCAAAAGCACAGCTGAAGGCAAACTGGAAGTTCCGGTCTTTTATTCATACACGGTTCTTAAGCGCCTGGTGCGCCCACTACAGGCCTACGGCTGCATCGCAGGCCACTCGAACAAACATTACCTRCCCTAATGAATTGATAACAGTTTTTCTATGTGTTGTTGGTGGTTCGGGCATGTATCTAAACRATTTTAATCAAGACTTAACAATTGTCAAACAATAGATCATAAAAGTCAATATTCAAAAGGGAAACTAAGAAAATAATAATAATAACTTTATTTGAATAGCACCTTTCTAAACAAATGTTACAAAGTGCTTTACATTAAAAAATAAGTCAAACATCAAAGACAACATGAAACAAAATATACCAAATCAAATATAATAAAACCAAAAACAAACAAAAACATTATCAAAAATTAAAAGCCTTATTTAAAAAGTAAGTCTTAAGTAAAGATTTAAAAGAAAACAATGAGGTAGCCTGTCTAATATTTAGTGGAAGGGCATTCCACAAACTGGGAGCTCTGACCATAAAAGCCCTCTGTCACCATTCGAGCTCTGGGAAAGGAAAGGAGTGATTGATTAACTGATCTGAGGTGACGAGATGGTATATATGGGTTAAGAAGCTCAGGAAGATAAGACCGCGCCAGACCATTCAAGGGTTTAAAAACAAACAATACAATTCGAAAATCAATTCCAAAAACCACTGGGAGCCAATGTAAAAAGGACAGAACCGGAGTGATGTGCCCATATTTATGGGATGGTGAAAGAACTCCAGCTGCAGTGTTTTGTATTAATTGAAGATAATTGAGAACTTTGAGGCAGACCAGAAAACAAAGAATTACAATAATCAAGATGGCAGGAAACAAAAGCATGAATTAGAGTTTCTGCATCAGTGAAAGAAATATAATCTCTGATTTTAGCAATGTTCCTAATTTGGGAAAGGGCTGTTTTCGTTATCTTCTTAAAATGTTTAGAAAAACTAATATAAGAATCAAAGGTCACCTCCAAATTCCTGGCTTCATGAGTGCAGTTAAAACCATTACAAAGAGACTGAGTTACAAGATGGTCTTTGGCCCAAACACTATCACCTCTGTTTTATCATTATTGAGTAAAAGATAGTTGTCAGACATCCAGGTTTTGATGTCAGAAAGACAAAAAGTAAGTTTATTGAGAGTAGAGAGGTTAGATGGGTTAATAGCCAAATAAATCTGGGAATCGTCTGCATAAAAATGAAAAGAGATATTAAATTTATTAATAACCTGACCAAGTGGTAACATATAAATAGAAAATAATTACGGCCCAAGAATTGACCCTTGGGGAACACCACATGTAAGTGTAGCTGAGCTGGAGGAATTGCTGCCAGAAAATGGTGTAGTGCTTTTAACATCAGTATCTAACTGATAAATTCTTTCAGTTCTGTCAAATATTTAATATTCACAAAGAGTAATGAATACTTAGACTCATTAGGTTTGATGGCTAACCAACGAACAACTAATTTTTTATCTGTTTTTCAGGCATATGAAAAGTTTCTCACAGACAACATACCAGTGTGGAGTGATGCTACATTAGCTAATGTTAAACCTCAACACTAACATGACATTGTTTGGTTTGCTTGTTGTGGTCTCAGCCAATCACCATTCATCTCTGTGCTGAGGCTGATGAGTCAGTTCGTCCTGCTTAAAATTGTAAACCAAAAGTTTTTTTTCCTGTTTCCTTTAAAGTTTTTAAATTGGTAACATGAGGTTGGAGTAAACACAACAGGTTTTGTGAAACAATATCATGGATAAAACTTTTTTGTGTAATCTCTTATTTATTTATTTGTATTTATTTATTTCCGTTGCAGATGATCGACATCGGGTCAAGCTCCACTCTCTGCTTGCAGACCCCAGTTCTGAATACGTCAACGCAAACTACATCGATGTAAGAAAACTTTCATTTCTAATCTTCCTCCTTCTTCACCTCCCACTTCATCCTTTTCTTTCTGCTTGTTTTACGAATGTACGAGCTGACCCGGTGCTTTAGCAGTCACCGGACACCTCCACACGCTGTTCATCTCAGCTGTGCCTTCATGAGCAAACCCACGAGCAACTTTTCCCCCCGTGTGTGTCAGTATGTGTGGGCTTTCAGGTCACATTGTACCACAGCAAGTACAAAGATCCTACGAGAGCCTGTAAGCTGGAAGCAGTCGACCTTGTGATTCACCCGAAAGCTTTTTGCAAAGCAACGCCAGGCCAAACGCAGCTCTGCTGAGCCTTTCATCTGCTTTCAGATGCTGTGATCTCACCTCCAGCTCAGCTCCAGTGTGTCTCAGGCAGCAGCTCTGGTGCCAGCAGCATGAGATCTTATTTCTAACCCTTTGCATTAGATGGACTGACTCTGGCTGTGAGCTTCTAATGGAAACCTGAAAAGGGTCTTCAGAATGTTTTCAGCTGAATGTAGCGTTCAGAGCCTGCTGTTTTCACTGAATGTTGCATTACATCCTCCAATTCCACCATTGTTTGTCAAACCAAACCAAACAACAAAATGGAACGTAGGCAGATGAAAGCTCAATGGGTTTTCTGTGGCCACTTTATCCCCTTTAGTGCTCCATAAGTGCTCCATTAGAGTAAATGCTCTGAGGACCTTTGTGTCATTATGTTTGCCAGCTACAGCACCACCCGCATGTCACGCCAAGACCCCCGGCTCACATCACTGCAACAAAACTATTCCAAATGATCCTCACAAGGCTGGAATAAATCAACCTCTGCTGTTTTCAAAGCTTAGTCTTTAAAAACCTGCTGTCACATGCAGGGTTACTGACGTAGTCCTTGGGTCAGACATGATGATTCCTCACAAGGAGATTTCTATTTGCTCTTTGGATGCGGGTTCACACAGTCTTTGGCCATCGTAGATTAAATCTTTTGTTGTGAAGGAATTGGTAATAAAATTATTGGTTGTGAGCATGAATCTGACAGTAGCTGTGTTTCCATTGCAAATGTGCGCAAAACTTTGTCGATATTCTGTTAATGTCGAAAAACACAGTTTCGCAACTGCAGTGTTTCCATTAAGTAAGAAATGTTATTAAAGTCACGTGAATACGTTTGTTCTCATGATAAGTCATTACAAACATGGCAGCGATGGATGTAAACACATAGCATGTTGCT